AGCTTCCATGGCAGAGTGGGGATCCTAACTGGCACCCCAACCACTCTACCGGGGTCCCCAAAGTGTTACCATGGCACCCACAGACAGCTTTCCAGGTGCCCGATACATGGTTTAGAAGATGGGCAGGATTTTTGCCCTGCAAGGCTTTTGATTGGCCATTGGAGAGTTGATTGGCTTTGCAGATTTTCAAAAACACTGTTTTGGAAGCAACTGCCACCACAGCACAAGGATCTTCACTGTATAAACTGAAGGTAAGTTGTGGCAGCTTTTTTTTATGGGTGGCTCCACCTCCAGCAGCAGCTGTCGTGTGGCAGCCATGCTTGTGGCTGCGCCCACCCTGCTGTGTCAGAATTCCAAAGGTGCCCGAAGGCTCACAACGGTTAGGGGAGAAGGGAACAAGGGAAGGAGGAAAAGGAGGAGGATGAGAAAAGAATGGATTTATACCCTGCCCTTCACCCGGAGTCTCAGAGTGGCTTATGATCTCCTTCCCTTTCTCTACCTACAACAGATACCCTGTGAGATAGGTGGGGCTGAGAAAGCTCTGAGAGAACTGTGACTGGCCCAAGGTCAATCAGCTGGTTGCATGCTTTTTTTTAAAAAATGTATTTATTTAACTTTCAATTTCAATGTGGAGGAGTCTGGAATTAAACCCGGTTCTACAGATTATAGTCCACCACCCTTAACCACTACACCAAACCACTACACTAAACTATACCATACCGGCTACTTTTATGCTCTGACTGGATTTTCAATGCTTTGGTTTTAACAGTAGTTAATTTTTAATTATTTTTATGCTACGTTTTGCCTTATGCTTTACTTTGCAAACCACCTTGAGCAGGTTTTCTGGAGAAGCAGCACAGACATTTCTAAATAAATAAATCAATATAGTGATTGGCATAAGTTTGAACCTTAGCCCTGCTGGTCTCCGTCCAGCATTCCACCCACAATGCACTGGGCTCTGCCATGTACGTGCCGCATGGCCAATGGCATAGCCATATCTGTGTCTAATTACGGAAGAAGTACATTAATTTCAATCTGCTCTTTATTACCTGAATGTCAATAGCAGGCCAGGACTGACAGAGAGGACTGCAGCTAACCTGATTTTTACAGACTGGCCTTTTGTGACTTCACTCATCCACAGCTGGGCTGTGGTTACCTAGGAAATAGACTTCTGCCTTGCTTCTGAAGGTCCCTGGCTCTGTTATTGCTATATATATATATATTCAGGTCTGTGAAAGTGGGAAAACAGATTTCAGGGAGCAACTGTGCACAGCTTGTACTTTAATATGACATCTCAGGCATCAGCCCATGACAACGGAAGGTCCTAGCATGACAGCCACACACACACAAAGATGGAGTTCCCTCCACTAACACAGAAAAGCACAAAAAAAGGAGCGTGGGGAACAGATGGATTTGCTTAGCACAACAGCCTTACATTCTTTAAACTGACACACACTAGAAAAGAATTCCAGTGGAAGAGAGTCACATGTAACACATCTAGCCACACTGAACAGTTTCATCCTAAACAAAATTAAATCCTTCTAGATTTGCTGAACTGATCTTCGCATTATTTAATCAAGATTTTGTCTCTTCAGAAGCATAGATAAAAGATAAACAAACTACTTTGTGTGTGGCAAAATTTCTGTCAGCAGTTGTCCAGTTACATGGTAACTTCTGTAGTAGATAACTTTCGTAGTAGAAACTTTTAGGCTCTCCTTTTGTGGGACGAAGGTTTGCTGTTTATGACTCTGGTTGTGAAAATAAGTAAGAAGTAAAGTATAAATCTTCAAGGTATTTTTTTTCCTGCACAAAATTCATCATCAGCTTTGGGAATTCTCCTTTCTTGTTGGAAGATGTGTGAAGTGGAACCTGAATCATAATGAAACCGTGGAATAGCAACACGGCGTGTTACGTCTTTGTTTATTTCAGTCACCTGACCGTGCACATGATCTAGGTAAGAAACAGCACCTTGGCTGTGATGTGATGAATGTCAGTCCATACAAAGGAGATCCAAATTGGCATTATCACTGCCGAGAACACAAGGCAAAAAAAGGTCAAGGAACAGTTAATCCCTGAATAAAACAAGAGACTGATTTCCTGTATCTACACATGATAGTTTTACCGCACATCAGTATGAAGCTCAATTCTATATCTGTAAGTTATATGCACATTTTTCAGATCTCTCCTGCAGTTGGGGCACTTATGTGCCAAATCCAAAAGGTCACACGGGGGTCTGCCAGAGGAAAGCAGGGAAAGAGGAATGCGCACAAGACTCCATCCCAAGCCTACAAAGAAAGTGCAGCAAGTGATAGAACAGGACAAGGGAACCTTGTGTAGTCTGATAACTGTCTACAAAACAGAAAGCAGAGAGTAAGAATACACGGATATCCTTCACAAACGTGAGCCCATGTGGTGTAGTGATCTGAGTATCGGACGAGGACCCGGAAAACTCAGGTTCAAATCCCCACTCATAAGTAAAGCTCACTGGATGATCCTGAGTCCGTCATTCTCAACCTAACCTACCACACAGAAACTGTGGAATGGAGGCAAAAATGGAGGAAGGGGGAACCACTTACACCACTCCAGGGGTCGTTTCGTAGAAAAAGAGCTAGGGGAACTCATTAGCATAACTCATTAGCATATGCCACACTCCCTGACATCACCGGAAGTGTGTCATAAGGCCACACCCCCTGACATCACCAGAAGTGTGTCATAAGGCCACACACCCCGCCCCCAACGGTCCCGGCCGCCGCCGGCCTTGCAGCTCCACTGCCAAGCCCCATGAGGGGCCCGGCAGTGGACCTGCAAGGCCG